CCCCGCCGCGGCCAATCACCGCTTCCTGGAGACTCCCCTGATTCCAGCGCTCCGCCCCGCGCACGCTGCCCTGTGCTCGCCCGCAGCGCCCTCTAGCTCGGGATGCGGGCACAGCAGCGAAGGAGGCGCTCGGGAGACGCGGAGGAGCGCCAGGCAAGTCAAACCGGTCCTGCAAGTCTCCCAGAAGGAAATTCAGAGCTGGAAGGGAACGCAGAGGTCGTTTTGCGCACCTCCTCATCCTTCCGGTGAGCGAACTGTACTAGTCCTTAGGACCTTAGAAAGGATCTGTCATCCCAACCCGTCCCTATTTTAAGGAGTGGCGGGGGAACTGTAATGTCAGCACTCTAGGAGGCTGAGGCAGTAGGATATCACAAGGTGGAGCCCAACCTGGACAATTTAGACGCTGTCTAAAAATTAACCCAAATAAGGGACCAATTCCCGTGTATTTATTACGTATCCTAAGAAAAGTAGGGACGAGCAGCCCAGGAGGCTGTTTATTGGAAGAACTTGGCTTTGTCATTTGAAAATGAACAAAATCCTGGGTGTGTGAGGAAGGACAACCCTGCCCTCCTCCTGCATAGGGAACCGCCCGGTCTCGGCCCTGCTCCTTAGGCGGCACAGCCTCAGTTTTCTCCACGCTGGAACTCTGATTTCCCTCCTGCTTCTCGTTTCCCATTTTTGAAAGGAATTGCATTGTTTTTAATTTACATTTGATCTTAGCCTAAAGGCCGAGGAGCGATTTGATTTTTTAATTTAGATGTCAGCTGCTTGCTGTTTGAGACTGTAGTAGAAATGAACTGTGGGCGTCAAATCTAAGATTTCTGCAAGTTCCAGAGATACTTATACTCTAAGAATCTGCTTCTGGGCTCCTGCTCCCGCCAGGCTGCTGCACTACCACGTGGGTTCAGAATCTAAAGATGAAACTCAGCCCTTCCAGAAAATGGCCCACGGAGCACAGGAGACCTTAGGACACAACCAGGCAGGGTCACGGGACCACAGGATAGACATGGTGAACTCACCGACTTCTTTAAAGTCACGCACACACACGCACACACACATACACACACACACTCAAGTTCTCTTGCTGACCTTTCACCCCTAGGCCCTGGCCTGCTCTCGAGAATCACCTCCTCTCTGCCCTACCTTTCAGTCCTCTGTCCCACTCTCTCTGGAGGAAACATAAATTGCCCCAGTTTTCCAAGCAGAAAGGGACACACGCCTATACTCCCAGTGTTTAGGAGGCTGAGACAGGGGACCATTGCGAACTCAAGGCCAGCCTGAGCTACACAGTGAGTTCAAAACCAGCCTGAACTATGTAGTGGGTTCCTGCTAACATTCATACCCTGAAGATGTCACCTACCTCTAAGAGGCTTTCCCACTAATAAAGACAGCTCTTTTGCTAAAAGAAAATCTAGGAGTATTATTAAGGTATTAATGGGGAGGGTTGAGACAGGACACCATGTAGTTTAGGCTGGCCTTGAACTCACTATGTAGCCCAGGCTGGTCTCAAACTCACAACGATCCTCCTGCCTCTGCCTCTCTAGTGCTGGGATCACAGGTGTATGCCTCCACGCCCAGCTCCTTTAATTTTATATTAAGAATGTATAAAATTT